CTAGTCTGCTTTTAATACTTTCAAGGGAGATTTTGACTTCTTGTATTATAGACTTCATCTCTAGCAGTTCCGTTTGAGTCTTTTGTAAAGTGTGTAATTCCTCTTTTAGATCATGCAAGAATTTCCTCATCTCCTAGAACTCGTCAACTTCTTTCTCCTTTCTCTTTAGCAGTTTATTATCTCTCTCCTCTTCCATCTCTGTTAGCTTCGACATTATGAATGCTCTAAATTCCTTATCAGACATTTCCATGATTTTCACTGAACTGCTTGTGGATGAAGAAGAGTTACTCTTTTCCCTTGGAGGAGAGGTATTTTCTCATTTTCCCATATTTCTCATGATCCGGCGCTGATTTCTTGTCATCTGATGGATGGTGTGTTTCTTTCAAATTCTTGAAGTTCAGCCGCTAGCTTGTTTGCTGGAGGCTGAATTATCAGTAGAAAATCTTCATTCCCTGAAAAATCTAGTTCACTGGAGCCTTGTGGAACCTTCTTCTCACGATTTTTTTTTTTCTTTATGAGAACAGTGTGGATGCACCTACTGGAGGGGGTTGGAGACTAGAGAGATAAAGAGAAAGCACCTTAGCAGGGTCCATGATCTCCTTTCCCCGGCTCTCCAGGAACTCAGGACCCTTGTTACCTGTGCCCTGTGTGTGTTTTACGCTGGCTTGGGATCTGAACGGTATGCCATGTGACTTCCAGCACTGCAGAGCATTAGCATTATCAATGAGAACAGTGGCTGGGCCCACTTGGGCTCTCCAATAAAATTGATTCTACATCAATTTGAGAAGTACAGATGGTCCCTAACTTGTGATGATTCAGCTTACGATTTCTTGATGGTTTACAATGATTTGAAAGCAATACATAGGGACCAGTGAATGGTTTATTGGTACGTCACTGGACTCCCACATAGTCAACCGCTGTTCATGCCCAAGTTCCTGAGAGGAAAATGGAGGAGAAGGGATTGCAGTGTGTCCATCCCTCCTAGGAAGTGACTTCTCACTTTCCGTCTCTGTCTAGCACACATGTCCTATAGCAAACATCTCTCTTAAAAAATAAAAAAGCATGCACATTCAGTAGAAGTTTGGATTTTGGATTTGATCCTTTCCCAGGTTGTTGATGTGCAGTCTAATAACTCTCATGTGACACTGGTCAGTAGCAGTCAGTCATTCTGTTTTTTACCTTCTGTATGGTATTCAGATTATATAAGATACTCAATACCTCATGAAATAGATGTGGAGTAATGTAAGTGTTCTGAGAACATTTAAATACGTTAGGCTTAAATATGTGCAGTAGGAGACCAGCAGGTGGCAAGGTAGTTAAGACACTGGACACTACCACGTGGCTGACCATGGTTCTAATCGTGAACCTGGTGACTTGCTTTCTCACTTTGTGTGTGTGTGTGTTGTGTGTATGTGTTTCTCTGGTCAAAATGAAATGAGTGAATAAAATTAATTTAAAAATTAAAAATATCTATTTTCAGTATATTAAATATATTTTCATTTGGGATGTAACCCCAAAGTCAGGCAACTGTACTGCCATCCCAAGAATATTAAGTCTTCCAATCCATGAATGTGGGATTGTTTCCTCTTTAATTTATTGTAGAAATGTTTTGTAATAGAGTATAGATTGTCCACTTTGGTTTAATTTATTCTTTATTTTTTTTGGAAAGGTTTTTGCTATAGGGTGCATGGGCTCGCCAGAAAGACAGAGAGAGACAGAAAGCAAAAAATCACCCCCCGGGGGGGAATGGCCACACCGCAATCCCTTCTCCTTCATTCTCCTTTCAGGATCTTGGGCATACACGCACACATGCCCGGCGTGAGTTTAAGTCGCCGGGTCCGAGACTCGAACCACGGTCGACTATGTGGGAGTCGAGCAACCTAGCCATTACGCTAACTGCTGAACGTGGTTTAATTTATTCTGAAAGTTTTTCTTTCTTTTTTTGTTGAGATTGTTGCTATAGGGCTCGTGTATTTACCAGAGAGAGACAGAGCGTGAAAAATCACCGCCTGGGGGGATGACCATGCTGCAATCCCTTTTCCATTCTCCTCTCAGGATTTTGGACACACATACATACACATGTGCCCGGTGTAAGTTTCAGGCTGCGAGATCTCTAGTCAACCATGTGGGAGTCCAGCACCTTAACCCCTACACCACCTGCTGGCCCCTGTTTGTTTGTTTGTTTAATGTTACTGTAAATAGAATCCCAAAAATTTTCTGTAATAAATATTGTGTAGAAATATGTACAGCTGGTTTTTGTATATTTATCTTATACTTTACAAACTACCTAAACTAGTTTATTCTGTTAGCTTTTTAGTGGATTTCTTCTGATACAGAAAATCACATGGCATGGTAGTTAAGATGAGTGGATCTCACATAGCTGATAGCAAGGTTTGAGTCTCAAACCTGGTGGCTTGAGAAACACTGGGCACATGGGTGAAGTGACTGCAGTGTGACCATCCCAGTATCCCGAGGGGTGCTTTCTCACTTTCTTCCCCTCCCCCTCCTAAGGAATGTGCATACCTCTCTTCTGTGCTTAAAGGGGAAGACTTTAGACCAAGACAGTCTAGATTGGGGTGCCAGAGAGGGCAGGGGGGAAAGACCATTGATCTAATTTACCTCAGGCTGCCTCAGCCACCCTCAACCAACTGTTGGCCAATGGAAGATCTTAATCTAAAGAATCTGAGAAGCTCTTAGCATCTTCTAACTTCAGGAGTGGACGTCCTTGGGCAGAAGCCTGAATATCTCATCCTGTTAGTCATGGTTTCCTGTAATCTGGTTAAAAGAACACAGATCTTTCCCATAGTTGTATTTCCCATAGTATATTTTTTTAGACTATAAATATGACTTTTTGCTTTTAACAGATTGCTGGATCTGTCATCTACCTGACCTTGCCAAGCAAAAGGTAGGCTCTGTTCAGTATTTCTGTTTGGGTATTTGAGATTCCACTGCATCTTTAGTCTCAATATTCAGTTTTGTAAGGTCTAGATTTTATCCCCATGCGAACAAAAGGCCTTTGTTGAAGTTACCCTTTCAGTAGAAAGTATAAGAAAACCAGCGCAGGCACTGAAAGGAGGGCTGTAGTGACCAGGGTAAATAATGGCAGTAGTAGTTTCATCCTATTACTCTTCAGAGACATTTCACCCTGCTTCACAGGAACTATTTAGTTCTACTCCAGGAATTTTGTCTACTTCGAGAAGCACAAAATTGGCTTATTTTGTCATATTCCTAATAAAGTTTGTACCCCGGTAGAATGTTGTTGCTTCTTACAGGGCTTACACTTGCCTGCCACACACGATCTTTTGTGTACTTGAGGGCAGTTTTCTGGTGTTTGTAGGTACTGAAGACTACCACCCCTCAGGTGGCTCCTTTTTCCTTGAGGTGGGTGCCTAGAGGGCTCCAAAATAAGTTACTAGGCAGAATTCCAGAGAAGGATAACTGACTTCTTGTGTGTTCTCTGTGGTTTTTAATTCCCATTTTAGGAGTCGTACACCAGGAAACGATGGGCTGAAATTTCTGTCCCTGCTCTGGAGGCACAGAATTCTGCCCAAATGATGGTCAGTTGCGTTGCTCTGCACTGCCTGCTGGCTAGTCAAGACTGGGGATACATGCGCTTACCCATACCTCACACTGCACCTAGAGTAATCAGGCAGGAAAAATAGAGCTATTTATTGCCTTCTTTTCCAGGGGAAAGGAAGTGTGGCTCTCTCTGGTGAGCCATGGTGGTGGGGCCATTTTTAGTTGCTGTGTCTTCATGTAGGGAACCTGGTTGTGGTCTCTCTTCACCTGTAGGCCTGGCCAGCCTGCTCGGAGTCATTCGTGGTCACTTCGCTCCAGTGTTGCCTACTCAAGTACAAATAGTGAGAGCACCTGGTTGAGTAGAATGTACGTGAAAAGTGGGAGAGTTGTGAACAGCCTCACCACCTACTCAAGTACAAATAGTAAGAGCACCTGGTTGAGTAGAATATACTTGAAAAGTGGGAGAGTTGTGAACAGCCTCACCACCGTGCCCTAATGACTCGATCCTCTCACTGAACTGGCAGGTGAAGCTTAATTGCAGGACACCCTTCAGGTCCTCCTGCCACAGAAGGAGATAAGCAACCTTGCGGTAAACAGCCTGTCATCTGTTTGTGTCTTCTCCGTAGTTTCAGTTGAACACAGGACTTGATTGCCTCCCCTCTCCTTGGGGTAGGGCTGCAGGCTATGAAATGGCTACAGCTGAGCTGGCTTCTCAGCAGCCTGTGTTCTCGTGGGGCTTGGTGTCATCCTGGGGACCAGGGATACTGGCTTTACTTTGGCTGTTGTGAGTTGGTAATGAAATACATGAATCTATGGGGGCAGCAGTTGGTAGGGTGGTTAAGGGCACTGGACTCCCATGCGGCCGGCTATGATCTGAGTCCTGGACCAGGCAGCTCGTTTTCTCAATTTCCCTCTTTTCTCTCTCTCTCTCTCACTCTGTCCCTCTCTGGTCAAATTAAATAAATAAATTAAATGAATAAAGTTCAAAAAATAATTATTTTTAAAACATGACGAATCTGCTTGGTCTCAGTTGTCATCCTGTTGACCATATCTATGGAAGTGTAGAGAACTGTTTTGGCTGTCCCAGCCACTGTGCTGCTGCTGGGGGAGGACCACTTGACTTTGTTAATTTTTTAAATTTATGTGATTTTATTTATTTTTAAATTATTTATCTAATTTTTTAAAGTAAATTTTTATTAAATATTTTATTTTTTAAATCTGACTAGAGAGAGACAGAGAGAAAAGGAGAGAGAGAGAAAGGGAAAGTGAGAAAGCAAGCTGCCAAGTCTGGAACTCAAACCGTTGTTGACCATGTGGGAGTCCAGTTTCTCAACCACTAGGCTGTCTGCCGGCCCCATCTTATTTTTTAGTTTTAACCAGAGAGAAAAGGAAAGTGAAAAAGCAAACCTCCAGGTCTGGGTTTCCAACCAGGGTCGGCCATGTGAGAGTCTGGCACCTTAATCACCATGTCACCTGCTGGGCCTAACTTCAGTAATTTTTTGTGACAGTTAAGCAACCTGTGATAAACAGCCTGTCATCTGTTTGTATCTTCTCCCTAGTTTCAGTTGAGCACAGGACTTGATCACCTCACGTTTTTTCTCACCTTCACGCTCTATCTCTCTGTGCCTCTCTCTAGTTAGATTAAAAAATAATGATAATAAATGAGATAATCTGTTTAAAGCATTAAGCCCAGTTCTTGACATATAATAAATTCTGAAATGTTAGCTGTTTATAGTCATATAATAATATAAGCAGAGGGACCAGCAATTAGTGTGATGGCTACGTCGCTAGACTCCCATGTAGTCAACTGCAGTTCGAGTCCCAGACCCGGTGGCTTAAACTCATGCTGGGCGCGTGTGTGTGTGGGTGCCCAAGATCCCAAGAGGGGGTGAGTGTGTGCACCCCCTTCAGGGGGTGATTTCTTTCTGTTTCTCTCTCTGGCAAGCACACACGCCCTGTAGCAAAAACCTCTCCCAAAAAATAATAAATAATATAATCAGAGTTATGATAAATTATGTAAAATTTAGAACAGTTGATTCTAGAAAGCACATTTCGAGAACTGGTACCCTAATTTCTTCTATGACTGAGGATACAGGAGCCAGCCAGAACTTGTATAGATTAAATAAATCATGATGCTTTAGGAACTCCTGAAAAGTGGCCTTACACTACTTTGTTGGTATTTGTGGTTTTGTTCATTTTATAGAAATATAAAAGTCAAATCTTTCCTAGTGATTATATTACAGATCAAGTTTTCAGTGAAAAATAGTGACTTTCCTCAATGCAGCCCCCTCAGTGGGTACTCTCCAGAAAAACGGCTTTAGGAACATTAAAGGTGGAACTCACAAAGTCATAAGGAAAAGGTTTAATTTTTAAATACCATAATAGGTACATTTTTTTAGGCATAAAGATTGTGCGTGTTGTGTGTGTTTTTCCCTCTGAGGTATTGAAATGCTTACAGATGGGCACCAGCAATTGGTGTAATGGCTATGTCACCGGACTCCCTTGTAGCCGATCATGGTTCAAGTCTCGGACCTGGTGGCTTAAACTCAGGCCAGGCGCGTGTGCGTGTGTGCCCAAGATCCTGAGAGGAGAATGGAGGAGAAGGGATTGCGGGGTGGCCATCCCCCCAGGGGGTGATTTCTAGTGTGTGCGCCCTATAGCAAAAACCTCAAAAAAAAAAAAAAAAAAAACTTACAGATGAAATGTGATGTCTCTGGTTAGCATTAGATAGAAGGGAAAAGGTTAGGACTTTTTTTTTCATCTCTGGAACCTTAAATAGGGACATCTTTTTAACTTGGTGTTCAGAAATTTCAGGTAACGTGTATTCATTCAGCAGATTGGTTGCAGCCTCAGATATAACAATCTTAATTTTGCATCTTTTGGGCTGTCCTGAGACAGTCTTTTCTAATTAGCATCGTTTGGGCTACTGTAGCACTTGGATATTAACAGTAACAATATTCCAGAGAGACAGCTCCATGGCTCCTGCGATCTAGCCATTTTGGGGGAAATGGAGAAATGAAGAGGTCCCACTGATAATTCAGCCAGCCTCCAGCATAGAAAACTCGCGTGGAGAGGCGGAAG